GGTGGGGGAGTGCCAAGCCTCCTCCACTCTCCCCTGCCCTGATTGGCCGCGAGGTGGGGGAGCGCCAAGCCTCCTCCGCCCTCCCCTGCCCTGATTGGCTGTGAGGTGGGGGAGTGCCAAGCCTCCTCCGCTCTCCTCTGCCCTGATTGGCTGTGAGGTGGGGGAGTGCCAAGCCTCCTCCACTCTCCCCTGCCCTGATTGGCCGGGAGGTGGGGGAGCGCCAAGCCTCCTCCGCTCTCCTCTGCCATGATTGGCTGTGAGGTGGGGGAGGGCCAAGGTGGCTGTGAGGTGGGGGAGTGCCAAGCCTCCTCCGCTCTCCCCTGCCCTGATTGGCTGTGAGGCCTGATTGGCTGTGAGGTGGGGGAGTGCCAAGCCTCCTCCACTCTCCCCTGCCCTGATTGGCCGGGAGGTGGGGGAGCGCCAAGCCTCCTCCGCTCTCCTCTGCCATGATTGGCTGTGAGGTGGGGGAGGGCCAAGGTGGCTGTGAGGTGGGGGAGTGCCAAGCCTCCTCCGCTCTCCCCTGCCCTGATTGGCTGTGAGGTGGGGGAGTGCCAAGCCTCCTCCGCTCTCCCCTGCCCTGATTGGCTGTGAGGTGGGGGAGTGCCAAGCCTCCTCCGCTCTCCCCTGCCCTGATTGGCTGTGAGGGGGGGGAAGGCCAGGCCTCCTCCGCTCTCCTCTGTCCTGATTGGCTGTGAGGTGGGGGAGTGCCACGCCTCCTCCGCTCTCCCCTCCGCCCTGCGAGCAGCGTGTGGCACTTCAAAGCTCCACATGCTCCTTCGGGTGCCCTAATTGGCCTGGGGGCAGGGGAGCAGCAGGGCCTCTGTGGGCTGGATCCGGCCCGTGGAGGCCTTTGGCCCGCCCCTGGTCTATGGGAATGGCCGGGGAGTCCCTGGGAGCAGCTAGCCCGGCCAGTCTTGGAACGGGCTCTGCATTTAGCTCAGGGCTCTTCACGCCCCTAACCCATTGGCTGGGCCGCAGGCCTTCTTCTGGCGGGGGGCCGGCTGCTGCAGAGCTCCCCTCCCCTCTGGGCAGCAGGACAGCTCCCCCTCCCCAAATCACAGCACCAGTGAGGCGGCTTCCCAAGGGGCCCTGCCGGGCTTTAGCTGGCAGGGCCCAAACGGCCAGGCCCAGCCCCGGGGTGAAGTGAGCGTGGCGCCCTCGGGGGGTCAGCGTGTGCCCACCGGCACCTCCCAGCCCCCCTCACGCCTGCCCTCGCCCAGGGGCCGGTCCCCCCGATGGACACAGGACTCCCCCCTCGCTCAGTCCCCCTCTCACACTCCTGCGGCTCTTAGGGGCAAGCGGCGGGTGGGTCACTGGAGACGACTAATTAAACGGAGAACAGATTTTCCCGGTTCAGTGTCCTCTTGCGGGCAGCGGGGGAGGGGCGTGGCGGTGTCATTGACTTGATCACGTCCACGC